CGAATTTAAAAACTGACCACATTAAATGTGAAGACTGTAACAAAAATCTTCCTCCAATCATTCAGTGAAAACACCCTTAGATGAAATGATGGGCAATTTCTCTATCTCTAATGTTATGTGTGAGGTTTTTCTTCCTGTGCCTCCCTTCCCTCTCTTTTTATATAAAATACTTGTTTTGTTGCCTGTACCTCTGAACACGTGTGTCTGGGCATATATCACATCATGTGGTTTGCTTTAGGTACCAAAGGATCATAAGAGGTGTTGGAGTGTTAAAAGCAGCTCTGCCATTATACACCTTTGGCAGGAGCTGTCACATCTGATTTCTTAAAGTGCAATCAGCAGGGTGAGATTATATTGATCTGTGATCATTATTCTCAAGCTCCTTCAAAAATGTGTCTTGGCACGGGTCCTAGAGAACCCATTATATACATGTTAAGAAATAAAAACTGACAAACAGAGAGGCTGATAACGGGTATTTGAAGTTGCCTTTAACAACATGAATAGGAAAATCAGTGCAGTTCAAAAGGGCACTCAAAGGGGGTCATTGCAAATTGCGGTTTGAATTGGCGTTTGAAAGTGCGGAGCGGCAGTTTCGACAACCAAATTCAGAGTCGACATCCCCCTGACGAATCTGTGTAAAATTGAATGAATAGCTGGTGAGGCTGATTGGTCACATTGATTGAGCATCGCTGAGTCTTTTCACTGCTGTACACCCAAGTCGTCTCTCACTCGATAGACACGACCCAAATACACCAGGCACTCAATCCAGTGTGTTGCTACACAGGACCCATCCAGCTAATTTAACACCCACTCCATTTATGAAAAAGAGTCCTCATCGATTTTTTTCTGTTCATGTGCTCTTGTTGCTCCTGTTCACTTTCTCCATGCTGGCGCCTACACATGCTCAAGGCTGGCAGCGATTGAATTGAATTAGTGTTCGGTAGGTTTAGATTGCAAGATTGGCTTTTCAGAGCCCACACCTCCAGCCTCTCTCCAGATGGAGCAGAGACCAGGAGCATGCAGTTACAGCCCGCTGCGTGCACGACTACATTCACAGAGACCTGCACAGCACAGAGGCCACAAGCTTCAAAATGGATGCACACAGCCGATTGCTTTCACACCTTCATACAAAAGCAAAGACCATTTCTGCTCGTTTTCTCATTGTGTTCCTCCTTCCTTTGTTATTGCACTCTCTTCCATTTCCTTTTCTCCTACTTAACCCTCTAATGCCGATCATTATTGGATGATCATGTTTCCAACATGTAATCTTGCATTTGAGGGGAAACAGCCAACACATCACAGACGACCTTAGAAAACATGGAAGCATATTTTTGATTGCAATAATTAGTCCAACAATAGCAGTTTAAAACCATTTCCAGTGTGTTTTGTCGGCAGTGGTTAAACTCTGAACCACAATAACTGTTATTATAACCATAATGGCTTTCCTGTCAGGACAAGTCTTATCAGACTGGTCACAACCACAGAGCTGTCACTGCCAGGTAAACAGCCCTGCCTGCGAAGGCAAGGAGTAAAGGTGATGTAGGAATAGACAATAAAGAGAGACGTAGCAATTTGACACAACTGAAAAGGGCATTAAAGATGACCAGATACATTGCAACCCACAAGCTACAATGAAGCTACAATAGACAGTTAAAATCTTTCACCCATTTTGATAATAGAATATTCCAATGCATATCCAATTCTGTCGAGAATGTCAGCAAATATTCCATAATGCTGCTCCAAAATTATTGTTGTGTAGGCTGCGACTAGTAGTTGGAAAACAAATTATTTTGAGCTGTGTATCAAAATGAAATAAAAAAAAATAAATAATAATAATCATAATAAATTTAGACTACCAGACACAATTCAATTTCCTTAAAAAAAGAACATTGTTTTCCCCGGATTAGAACTGCCCAAAAAAAATTGAATAAATCAATATGGAATCTGAAGATGATTATTCAAAGTAAATTCCCCTGCTCAGTAGACCATGCAGAAGCGAGGGGTCGGCAGACTGGCTGGTGAGGCCTGCAGTTCTAATCAGATAATTTCATCATCAAAAGGCGAACATGAGATTAAGTTTATCATCAGAATATATTGCAATGCCAGAGTCCTTTGTTCTGTCCGGCTGGTACTAAAGATGCTTATTCCCGGCTGTGTGTGTGTGTGTGTGTGTGTGTGTGTGTGTGCGCGCGTGCATGTGTGTGTGTTTGTTTTAAGAAAATATCAGCAAACATCTGGACATGCTAAATATGTTGTGGTGCAGCAATTTCAAAACTGCAAAATTATTTGGGGTTTAGTCCAAGAACAAGATGAAGAAAATCGAATGTGCTCTATAATCTGCTGTGTAGTTCAAGTTTATATGTATTCATTTTCCCTCGTGTATTGTGTTCTAAAACCTAACTGGAGCACCTCTTTCCCCGCAGAGACATTTTGCATTGCACTGTGCATAAAAAATGTATAAAATCGAGTTGAGTTAACTGACAGGCAACTTTAATATGGCTCCTCTTTTTGTTATCTATAATGGGTTTTCTGTTTCTTTTTTCAAAAACATTTAGAAATCAGCACTGATAATTTAACAATAGGAACCATAGTTTTACACGTCTGTTGAGATGAAGAACAACGGAGAAAATTGGAGAATTTTTTTTCCACAAGAATGAATCGTGGATATGGTTAATTAATATAGCCATGGTCTCTTCTCCTCCGCCTTTTGAATGATGTTGTTTGTTACCCCAAAGCCAATTGTAACTGTGGAATAATGCGCTGCTACTAAAAACAATGCTCATTTTGATTTCAGATCATTCTGTGCCTGATAAAATATGTCAGCGTCCTCCACAGGTTAAGAACAAATATACGTGTCAAAATTAACAATCCTTTACTTATGTGTATATGTGTCTCTTGCTGCAGTTAACGGCCACGCTGAGAGAAATACTGTGAAAGATAAACACAATTCCAAAATTTGGTGGATGCTATTCTCACATTATTCTTTCACCCAGCAACGATGCAATACATTGAACTGTCCTGTGGGCGTGAGGCACCATAGGTCATTTCATGAAATTCATATCAGTGCTCTTCCTGCTTGTTTTTCTGTTCACATATTCATTTGGTCTGCCCTGTCAAAGAGCTGCAGGGGTTGCATACATATCACACAAAAGAGAGAGCGACAAAAATGCAAAGGAAACACAAGAGTAGTCACTTTGGGAACACGGCACTATTGTTCATAGAAATTGTATGTGTGTATGTTTGTGTACATATCTGTGTCTGTACATGTGTTGGTTGCACATATGTGCTTTCTGTGAGAATGATCGTGTTACTGTTTGAAAAGAGCGTCAGGCAGGTTCTGTGTTGTGCATTTCTCTCACAACTACCTTCACCAGAAAAATATGGCCGCTGAGTCCTGACCACAGTTTTACACAGAGCCTCCCAAAATGCTGAAGTCACACTGAAATAAATCTAATTATGATTAATGGCTTAATAAAAGTCTGACGATCATGCCATGCTAATGTATGACTATTATTCATCAATTGAAAGCCGAGAATAATTTTTCTGATGGTGATGTGACACACAGACAAGGGGGAAATAAATCCTTCTGTCTTCCGGAGGAGAGTGTTTGGCAGTAAACCAATTCCAAGTCTGGCTTCTTGAATGCCCAGATAACGCAATCAGACAGTTGCAATATTGCTGTTTTACCACCTGAAGAATTTGAATTTCATTCAGCCCCTTCAGAACAGTAGACGTGCCAATTTTTCCCCGCGAATTGGCAGGACAAACACAATGCACCCCGGTGGAATGAGGAAAACGGCTTACCAGCCGAAAATAACTGTTTTCAGGGTCTTTCTCGTCTGCGTCCTAAGGTTCAATTTTATCATAATAATACACGAAGACAAAAGGTTTAATTTCCTCTATCATGACTACAATGTTGGTTGTTGGTGCTTTTTTTTATTAGATATCTTATTATTAAATTGGGAATTAGTCAAGCATGTAATAAAATAAGGGCGACTCAGTTTTCAGGTTGTGAACCTTGAAACATTACAGGGTCATTTTAGATTAAATCTGATATATGGAGGGGACAGTTTTTTCCTGTTGTGGTTTTATGCTGTAGGGAAGTGGTGAATATATTTTTCGAACTCATCTAAAGGGTTATTCTTAGGCTATTCTTTAATTGGGATTTAATTTGAGGGGAAATAAACTCTATCTCATTTTGTTTGGGACGTCCTCAAACATTGCTGAGGAACTCCAGGTTCTCCCCAGACCACTCTGAGAACAACTGACCCACAGGTAATGACTTGGATTGGCAGTGTATCAGTGTAGTCTGACACATGGGGGATTGGATTGAGTAGTTCACTCTGAAGCTCCTACACCTTGCTCTTATTATCCTGAGAGTCAATGAGCTTTTTAATGTATTTCTCTGGCGGAGGGAACTTCAGATTAAGAGGAAGAGGGGGAAGATGGAAAAAGTGAGAGGGATGTTTTTGCCAAAATCACATAAGGAGCCAACATCGCAGGATATTTCATCTTCTGATACCACATTATTAATCCAGTAATGAATTTATTCAGCACTTTCTATATTTTTAGCTTTTTTTTAAAAAACAATCAGCCTCAGTATATTCCAATGTCACCTGCCTGTTTTTGCCTCCATCATTTACTGGACTTGCAGTCATTTCCCCCAGGCAGTAATTAAAATTGACCAAATCTATTAGTGTGCAGGCCACGGTGCAATGCATAGGCCCCAAAAACAAGGAGTCCCCTTCAAAAAACCCGACTGATTTAGCGCATCCAGGACGCGTTTTAAATATGAGGCGGCTGCTGTTGACGCACTAACTCCGTATCTGTCACAGCACAAAACATCAATAAATACATAAATCGGCTTACACGGCTGCACCTCGGGCTGCAGGCGGTTACTGGAGCAGCCCGCATGCATAGTGCGTGTTTACATGTTATCATGCTCGCTCTCAGATCAGATTTATTAAGGACACATGCCATGGAAACTGCTCGGTTCCTACCTTGATCCCTCCAATCTCCTTCTCCTTGATTGCTCAGTGCGTCTCATTCATTCTCGCTTCCCTCCTCACTTGCCTCCTTCTCCTCTCCTCCTCTGGTTATCACTCGTTTGCTCCTCTCTGGTCCCGTCTTCGTGCAGAGGCATAAGAATTAAAAATTAATAGCCTGCTATCTTAAAGACAAACCAACGAAAAAAAAAAACCGGTAGAGGGGAAAAGATCCACCCGGATTAAAAAATATATATGATAGAGGCAGAGTGTGGAGGGGAAATCCTCACGGACAGAGCAGATTCTCACGAAAATGCGCCCGTGTGGGCATCAAAATAAATAACAGCGACGAAACCATTGTCCTGCTCAGAAACAAGCACAACATGCGAGTTGCAGCAACGTCAAGAGGAGACGTGAAACTGTGCTGGAGCACGAGCAGAAAACGAACTTGTCCGTCCGTCCTTCCCTGACTCGATGCTGAGCAAGTGAGCAAATGAGCCACCGCCGCAAAACGTGCGAAGCAAATCAGACTCTCGGGTGTCTGATGTCTGTCTGTCTGTTCACAGGAACGGATCGCCACTTTCTTTCAAACTGCAGACCACTCACCCTCATGCTGTCTCAAAAACAAAAGCTGCACGGTTTGAAATAACCCGTTGGAATTAGGACAGTCTGCACGGGCCATCTGCGGCGGGATCTCGTGCGTCCTGGCGCACCGAGCGGATCAGTCCTCTATAGTTTCCCTCCTCGTCTGCAGGCAGCGCGCACTCTCATCAGGACCATTCTCACTGTGTTCTCTGCCACTGCAGTTCTGCATCAGGCCTATATACCTACAACCTGGCGCATGCATCAGTGCCTCTCACATACAGTTTGGTGTCCTAAAGACGGGGCCAAGGCACTTTTTATGACCAACTCTACCACTACTTCTGCCCGCCCACGACTTAAATTGCTCCTTGATGGCAGCTTTTTTTTCCAGTTGCCAAACCCAAGTGGTTTTCAAAAGACGGGTTCAGGAACCATCAGAGGTCCTCGAAATGGCCATCTGTGGTCACCTTGCTAAATTATATGTTAGAGTTTAATATCTATGGTTAAATTCCCCAGAAGCACCTGGATGAAGGAAAAATCGAAATTCTACAGGTTAACACGCATCAACCAATACTTGACACATTCCTCCATTCAGTCTGTATTGAGTGATTTCAAGCAGCTCAAGTTGTGTTTTTCATTCAGACACAGCCAATGCTTGTATGCAACCTGTGCATTCACTGCACTAAGAAGTTCCTGAAAAGTAAAAAGTACGTAATAAGAGATTTGGTTATTTTCCATGTAGCATGTTTTTTCTACACAACTGCAGATATATACATTTATGTTTTCTGAACTGATAATTCCCCCTCTGATTAAAAATATTCCTTCACACGACTTTCACAAAATATCTCTGTCCAGACAAACGCTCAAAGTGGCATGCCGGGCCAGTAGGTGGCAATAAAGTCTGCATCAATAATCACTTAAATAACGGCGTTGTAAGCATGCTCAGTGAGCTTATGGTTGTTGGTACTGGTGTGTGTGTGGGTATGCGCGAAGTGAGATGTGACGTCATCATTTCCTAAACCCTCCACGTTACATGTACACAAATCTGCACTTTGACAAGTGTTTATAAAAATCCCATAGTGACTTGAATTGCTGTTCGCGTGTGGGCGAGAGGCCTGAACGCAGAGGAAGAATTTTGTTTTGCAAAATATCTGCATTAGTGTGGACAGAGCCTCATTCAGGCCTCAGGGTTGGACAGTGTGTAATAAAGATTTCCAATTGAAAAACATCCACCAACTACTTTCAGGCAGTTTGCTCAGTGGATTAATGAACAGAGTCGTGATAACATTGTGTGGGACTCATTTGCATGCAACCTTCCAAGAACAACAACTCATGTGTATTATGAGACTTGTGGATTCCTCACTTAAGTGCACCGTCCTGAATTTAAATGCAACTCCATGGGCTTTTAATCTTTTTTTTTCCCATTCGTTTTACAGGGCTGGAGTCAACATGTGTGTCTAATGTCAAAGCAGTGATTCTCAGGAGGACCCAGATAAGCTAACAGTCTGCTGCCCTATGTGTGCAGGCACAGATGGATTTTTCTAAAGATTATTTTTCTGGTTCTGCCACTGACAGACACGTTGCTGAAAACTAAGATTGAGTGCTGCACTGGGCAGAGGGAGTATCATAAATTGGCAGTTCAGGGGCTCTCCAGGATATTCACAGGTGAGAAAAAGAAAAAGGGGGAAATAAGCAGAGGAATACGAGGCTATGAAGAAGTTAAAACCCTTTAGTGGAACATGATGGAGCTGCTACAGCATACATGATGCACCATGGGAGCAGAGAGTGAGTCAGGGGATGGCACACGGCAACAGTTTTGAGCTGGAGTTGGAACTTCAGGCATTCAAAGTACCCGTTACTCCTCAGCCTGCCGAACAACCCACATAGACAGTGAGCAGTCAGGTTTCTCACTCGCAGTAATCTCTGCTGGAGATATAAATAGAAGCCTGACCTGAAGCCAGTTAAGTCTTGTTACTATATGTTAAAAGTGACTGTGCAGGGTGATGCTGGTATATCATGCTGTCACTGACAAATCAATTATTCACTTTCTCACCGCATATGTGAGTCTTTGGCTCTCTTCTTCAATTAATCGAGCTGTCAAACACATCAAAAGGGTTTGAATAAGGACTTCAAGAATATCTATATGCCTTATTTTATACCATATTATATATATATTGGAAAATACATAGAAGCTACAAATTGGATTTCCTGCATTTCCACTCCATCATATGTTATTTACAGGATAGTTTCACGCTTATTAAATACAGTATACTGTTCCCTGTCACCATCACTGCACACATGAACATGCAGCACTGAGAAGAAGTGCTCTACAGCATTATTGAGATAATACTTATAGTAAAGTACATACACACAGACAAGGTTAAGTAAATGGGAGGATGCATTCACACATTACATGCCCACATTTTCATATCTATTAACATAAGTGCATTTACACAAAAATAGGCTACAAACATAGAAAGGTTTTGATGTTTGACCTATAACAGACATATATTTCTTTCTTCCTTTAAAGCATCACTACGTAACTTTTGAAAGAAAAGATCATACTGTGTATTATTCATCCTACAATTGAAAACTTTAGTTCATATATAATGTGTGATTCATTTTAATACCATAGACTGAATATAAAGATGGACAACATGACATATATCCCAAAGTGAAGCCAAACTATCTTGATCTCCCCTCGGTGGCTAGCTGCAGTATAGGTCAAAAAACTCACCTTCTCCGTGTTAGTGGAAGGGACATGGACCAAACAAAAAGTTTAAAATATATGCTAAATAAATGATGGTTTCAGTATTTTTAGGTACTTCTTATCATAAGGATGTATTGATGGCTTTGGTGACTTGTTTAATGCTATGAAAAAGGGGTGAAACGTCATGATTGACAGCTGAAACTGACTCACGATTGGTCGAGCACATCAGAAGGACGTCACTACTGCAGCTCCATCGCTAATAACGCAGACTCTGGCTCCAATTAACATCATCAGTGCAATATGGCAGCTTGTGTCTGGGATATTTTAACTATGTTCCTGGACAGTGAGAGGAAGTGGACACATGTCATCCATCTTAAAATACAATCTGTATTAAATACACTCAGGGGTTTTGCTGCTATATTCTCACCTGATCTGATATGTTCAGTAGTTTCTGATATCTAATGTTATAACAACTTTAGATGGACACTGCTGTGTATCTCACATTACCATGTTATCCATTGCATTTTAGACTCCTCTCTGTTTGTGGGGGGAGGGAAATCTAATCTGCCATTAACCTCCAGTTGTCACACAGTGGACATCAACGTCCGTGCATCTTTGTGTATGTTTTCAGGGGAAACTATTTTATGATCTGTTATCCATATCACATGGAATTACTGCATGGGTCCAGAGTGCAGCTTGCAAATGTTCTCTCCCGTCTAAAAAAAAAGCTCTTTGTCAGTTTATATTATAATAGCTAATATTGGCCAGTATTGAATGGGCTATATACATGCCTTTGCCACTTAGCCTTCTGTCACACAGTACCTACTCTGTTATACTGCTCTCCAGTCCAGTCAATTGACCTTCATGGGCCGCATGACTCATTGTGCCACTAAACAGCTAGCATAATGTGGTTTGTGCTCCGTGGCAGTCACACACTTTATCAGGATTTTCTTTATGTCTTCAAGATCAGATGTGTTTTATGCAAAGTCACAGAGCTCTGTGTGATCGCAAGAGGCTGTCAGGCAAACTTCTTCCCCTACTGTACTGAACGGGTCACTAAGAACCAAATGTGGTGAGATTTGCAGCATCAAGTCACGCTCGGCACAGTCTCAGCAGTTGTTCATCACACCCCAGTCTCTTAGCAACAACAATAGTGACTACCAATGATTAAATGCTGATTGCCCTTCTAAGCACAAGCAGTGGGCTCTTGTTACAAATACAGCAGCATGATCGCTTTATTCATCATAAATATCATGTTGGAAAATAAAATGTTTGAAAAAATGTCTGTGTGTGTTTGTGTTGCATATATATAACTGTGATTAGGCTTCCTTGCTATTCCTTGCTTCCTTTTAATAGAAGACATCCAGGAAGACAGTGATGGTTTACACAATATAGTAAAAAAGCTAATTGTGTTGAGTTAAGGCAAATGACCCTAACAACGATGAATGCTCTGTAAATTAATTTCTTGCAAACAAACAGCTGCCTTCATCTCATTTCAGGTTGGAGTCTGCAGCTAACTGTACTCGTCGTAAGCATCTCCACAAAACCAACAGGACGACTTTTACTTCTGAGTGCAGCATGAAACTGTCACTCTGCAGCTATTTCTGGATATTGAAATGTCCCTGAAAGTCAAAATATTTAATAGCTAACAAAATATCTATAAATGTTCTATACTTGGCAAAACAAAGCTGGATGTCCTTACAAGATAAACTTTTGTGTACACACACACACACACACACACACACACACACACACCATAAGATTTTTTTAAAACATATATTCATTTAAATATACGGATTACTCATGGGCTTTTATACATAACTTTTTTTTCACCCCTCTCATATCATTAT